TGTAAGTATTAATTAATTATTATTAATAGGTGTTCAATTAGAGAGGATTTACCTCATACAACTCTCTTTTGATCAACACACCTCTCCCTCAATTGCATTGTCCACTCAAACCCTCTCATAGGTATTGGCTATTTGATCACGGACCCCTCCCCACCCATCTCCCTAAACAGGTTTGACCACTCAACCCCTCCTTTAGGCACAGGCTAACCGCTCTCGGACCCCTCCCCTCCCAACTCCTTCAATACCTTTGAATTAGTTGCGCGAAATTTTACCGCGCAACGACGGTGCCTGACCATTTACTACTGTTGTTCCCCGACGGGGGGTTTATTGCCATCTTAAACCATGCAATTTGCATGGATTTAAGATGGCAATAAAATTTATAAGTTAATTAAATTTTTTTCGAAAGGTAAAGCTTTTTCGTGGTTTCACTTTTAATGCTTTTATTGTTGCTAAACTGTAAAACAATTTTTGGCCAAAAATTTGGATATAAATAGCTGAGGTTAACCAGTCTAATACAAACAAAATTAATAGCTTCTAAAGTTAAATAACTACAATAAGTTTTTTGTAAATATTTGAAATGACTAAAAATAAGTATAGTCTTTGTTTTACCTTACTATCGCTTATTTTAATTGCTAATGAAATAAATGCTGGCCTTTTTGGTAACGGTGATATGTAAGTTAACATTATTAGCTAATAAATTTTGATAAACAAAATTTGTTCCAGACTTCTTCCATCACTCGTGAGAGGTCTAAGAATGAAAAAACAGTGTTGTGGTGGTGGTGGTGGAGGCGGTGGCGGTGGAGGATGTGGATGCGGTGGTCCACCACCACCCCCACCACCAATAACATGTGAATGCCCACAACCAAAATGTGAATGTCCACAACAAAAATGTGAATGTCCACAACCAAGATGTGAATGCCCACAACCACCAAGATGTGAATGTCCACAACAAAAATGTGAATGTCCACAACCAAGATGTGAATGCCAACAACCACCAAGATGTGAATGTCCACAACAAAAATGTGAATGTCCACAACCAAGATGTGAATGCCCACAACCACCAAGATGTGAATGTCCACAACAAAAATGTGAATGTCCACAACCAAGATGTGAATGCCCACAACCATCAAGATGTGAATGTCCGCAACCAAGATGTGAATGTCAACGGCCACCAACAACAATTACGCTGAAAATAAGTTGTTCAAGCGGAGGAGGAGGATGTTGTTGTGGCGGTCCACCACCACCACCATGTGGCTGTGGAGGTGGCTGCGGAGGAGGCGGTGGTGGCGGCGGCGGTGGATGTGGCTGCGGAGGAGGCGGCGGTGGTGGTGGATGTGGAGGAGGCTGCGGAGGAGGCGGCGGTGGTGGCGGATGTGGAGGAGGCTGTGGTTGTGGACGAAGAAAGCGTTTGGCTCTTCTCCAACGAACGGCTGTCAATGTTTCCTAGATATAATATGATTTAACATTTATTTTTGTATTCTACGTTTTGTGATATTAGTTGTAGTTGCACTAATGCATTTTGTAGAAGATTTAGACATTTGTATATTTTGCCGTAATTCCTTTTCTTAGAATAAATTCATATAATAAATTATTTGTCGTGAAACATATAATAAATTATTTGTCATGAAACTGGATTTTGGATCCGTACTATCAGTGGGTTTGAAGTGATACCATGAGATCCTTCGATATCTAAGCAGATTCTCTTAATCCTTGTCCTTCTTAATCCTCCCAAATCCCTCGATATCTGCTCCATATCGACATAATCATTTTAATCCCCCGATATCTCCACATAATCCTGATAACCCCCTAATTATCAGCAATATCCTCTTAATCCCTCCGCTATCCTAATTCCCCGAAATAAAGAGAATCAGAGCCCAGAAGTATATCAAGGGATTTGGGGAATTGGAGAAATAAAGGCAATTTAGAAGGATAAAAAAATCACTGTATCAAAGATGTGCAAGGAATTAACAAAACCCTCATACCAATCCCATACTAGACCGAAACCCCAATTAATAGACCCGGATTTCACTCCTTCGTTGGTGCTGGCTTTATAGAAATATATCCGTTATAAAAAATTTGCTAGATCTATTTTTGGATTCTCAACTAGAGCCGGAAACTGGAACTAAAACTCAAAACCGAAAACCGGGTTTTTAAATTTGGATTAACGTGGATACCTATCAAGGGCTTATAAAAAAGTATTTACGGTATATTAAAATATTAATTTTTATCAAATTAAAAAGATTTATTGAAATTTAAATAATTATTTTTTGCATGTTTTACAACAAAAACTTCCATAACGTAAAGTATTACATAACCCTAAATTTAATATATTTTTACAAACTTGTTCAAATCTTTTCTCTTCAATACAATTTTGTAAATAATTATTTTTAATTAAATCTATAATTTAATTATTTTAATTAATTAATTTTAAATTCAAAACTTAACCATTTTTAATAATATTTATTTTTATTTCCTCAGAAATTAGAGAATCTCCATAAGCACAAGAATATAAACCTTTGTCTTGAATATTTATATTAATTAATTTTAATTCGCCTATTAAACTGTTATTTGAATTAATCTGAAAAAGTAAAATAAATATTTGATAAAATTTAAATATTAAAAATATTATTAAAATATTTGGAACGGAGGAAAAATACAGAAAAAGAAGAAAACTAATTTTAATCGAAAAATATCGGCGTTGTTTGATGAATATTCATCACAGATTAAAAATACAGTTCCCGGCAGGCAAAATTTTGGCTGGGCTTATATTAGAGTAACTACGGTAAATATTAATTTTTATTAATTGAAGTAGATTTATGTAGAATAATTTAAATAACTATTAAATTTCTCGATAACCCTAATATAAAAATGATTATGCCGCCAACATTTTATTTTGGGCTGATCGAATCAAAAGAATATTTAAATATTTTAATTCAAAAAATAATAATAATAATAATAATAATAATAATAATAATATGTATTAAAGAATGAAGTGAGACCAAAAACATGTAAAAATATTTATTATTAAAAATATCTTTGAGAACACAACAAATTACAAGTAAAATATAAATATTTTATAGACCTGTAACTAGTTATAGCTAAAATTATTGTTTTTTCAGTTGAAATATAGCAACATCGTAAAATGCCGTTTTTTATTTATAAGTATCTAAAACAGAATACATATGTGGAATATTTTTTCTTTAGAAAAAATAATTAAATAATTGGTCTATTCGTCTAATCTCTTTCACATTGTTGTAGGGTTGTTCCCCGACCGGGGGTTTATTGCCATCTTAAACCATGCAATTTGCATGGATTTAAGATGGAAATAAAATTTACAAGTTAATTAAATTTTTTTCGAAAGGTAAAGCTTTTTCGTGGTTTCACTTTTAATGCTCTTATTGTTGCTAAACTGTAAAACCATTTTTGGCCAAAAATTTGGATATAAATAGCTGAGGTTAATCAGTCTAATACAAACAAAATTAATAGCTTCTAAAGTTAAATAACTACAATAAGTTTCTTAAAAATATTTAAAATGATTAAAACTAAGTATAGTCTTTGCTTTACTTTACTATCGCTTATTTTAATTGCTAATGAAATAAATGCTGGCCTTTTTGGTAACGGTGATATGTAAGTTAACATTATTAGCTAATAAATTTTGATAAACAAAATTTGTTCCAGACTTCTTCCATCACTCGTGAGAGGTCTAAGGATGAAGAAACAGTACTACTATAACATCCCTTTCTTTTTATTGATTGATTATCGCCCCGCCCCTGAAGAGACGGGCAGAGAAAATAAGGATGACGTAACACGGACCTTTTGCCACATGACAATTTGCCACATGACAAATTGCCACGCGACAACTTGCCACGCGACAAATTGCCACGCGACAATTTGCCACGCGACAAATTGCCACGCGACAAATTGCTACGCGACAAATTGCCACGCGACAAATTGCCACGCGACAAAATGTCCAAAAGCCAAAACGCCCACAAATCAAAAGGCCATTATTAAAAACGAAATTAATAAAATTAATTTACCGGTGGCCGGGTCGATCCTGTGCCCTCCTGCCTAAATGCGGGCACACTACCGACCCGACCACCGGGTAGTTGAATAAATATAAATTATAATTTAACTTAAGCTGATTACCCACCCCCACAGACAGAGAAAAGGTAGAGCAGAGACAACAACAAACAAAAAACTCTACTCTCCTTTCTGTTGTAAAATCTTTTCTCTTTTCTGCTAAAAAATTTTCTCTCGCTTCTGCAGTAAATCTTTTCTTTCTCTGCTGTAGAGTTAGAGCAGAGACAACAAACATACAAAACTCTTCTCTCCTTTCTGCTACTATAAGCCACTACTTTTGCTTTTCTATTTCCAACAACTTTTTTGCTCGTGTGTCCATCAATCGATCCTTCTTGTGACTTTTTTGTCCTATTTCCAACAGCTATTTGCTTGTGTGCCCATCAATCGCTCCTTCCTTTAAATTTACACCTCAAAAGGTAGCTTTGGGGCGCTTTGGTGTTAACAGGTCGGATTTTTCATGCTATGAATTTAATCGTGATATGTAGGGCAAAATCCGACGAAAAAATGGCTCAGCAAGCAAAGCTGGGCGACGGAGGTTTTTTTTTGTAAAATCATAGTGTTTTTTTCAAATTTCAGGTGAAATTCATGGTTACAAAGTAAAGAGAGAAATTGCCGCTACAAGAAAATCAACTCAAGGAGGTTTGATCAGTTTTTCAGTTTATAATTTATAACGGGAAAACCTTAATGTAAATTATTGGTACTATTGAACCTGCCAGACCCCATTTTTTCCTTCCAAGTGTTTTCCTATATATTTATAGAATAGTCAAGCTTCCTTCCATCCCAATTTTCTTTTTCTTCAGCCAAAGGGGAATGAAAATTAATTCCTTTTGATTGTTTGTAGGCAAAATATAGAAAGGCAATTGAAATGAGAGGAAGAAGTCTATTCTGTGGATATATAGGAAAAAATTTGGGAGGATAAAATGGGGTCTGGCAGGTTCAATATTACCAAACTATCTTTTAAGGTGGACTCGTCTCTTTTCATCGTGGCATTTACACTATTGAACATCTCACACAAGTATAAATTTTAATTTATACATAGAAATGTTCGATATTTTTTAGTTAATTTATTATTTAAAATGTGCAAATCCCAGAGCTCGAGTTAGTGTCAAATTGGTTTCAGAGGCTGGCGTTGGTATTGTTTCTGCAGGGGTGGCTAAGGGAGGTGCAGATCACGTTACTATTTCTGGACATGATGGTGGTACAGGAGCAAGCAGTTGGACGGGAATGTGAGTATTTTAATAAATCGTGTTTAATTTGACTCAATTATTCTAGAAAGCATGCTGGTCTTCCTTGGGAACTTGGTATGTTTACCTTAATTGATCCAACACATTTTATCGTCAATCTTTAATTACTAAATAATTATAGGTGTTTCTGAAACTCATCAAGTTTTGACAATGAATGATTTACGCTCCCGCATTGTACTTCAAGCTGATGGACAAATAAGAACTGGTTATTTAATATTTAACTTTTTTTAAAATCTTTGTGTCCTATCAGGTCGTGATGTGATGGTTGCAGCTTTGCTAGGTGCAGATGAATACGGCATGTCTACAGCACCTTTGATCGTTCTTGGATGTACAATGATGCGAAAATGCCATTTAAATACATGTCCAGTTGGAATAGCTACTCATGATCCCGTTCTACGAGCAAAATTTGATGGAAAGCCAGAACATGTCGTTAATTATATGTTTATGGTAGCCGAAGATGTTCGTTATTTTCTTTCGAAATTGGTATTGCGAGAAGTGAGGGAATCTGTTGGAAGAGTTGATTTACTTTATGCGGTTCCACATCCGATGAACAACAAAGCAACCTTTCTAGAGTTTGCTCAAATTTTGCATAAAGTTTCCTTGCAATTCCCGCAGATCAATATAAAAGGTGGATCGATAAAACAGGTTTTTATTAATTGAGTACTGATTGATTACTTTTCATTTATCTATTTTAGCTGCATGAATGTAATGATTTGGAAACTGATATAATAGAAAAGGAACAATTAATTAAATTCTTTGATAACTCTTCAAAAGTTAAACACATCAAAGAAAGAATAATAGGTAATACAAACCCCTGTTTTGGTGTTCGACTTACCTACGAGGTATTTGAATAATTAATAAAATTTATAAATATCTTTTAAGATTTTTATTCTTTATGGAGAAGAAAGGTTGCCTGAGGGGCATTTATTGGCACTTAATCTGGAAGGAGCTGTTGGGCAAAGTTTTTGTGCTTTTTTGGCAAAAGTATTCACTGTCAGATTGGAGGGTGAGGCGAATGATTATGTTAGAAAGGTTTTGAATTATTCGTTTTTCTTTTATTTTTGTTTCTTAATTTAGTGCATTTCTGGTGGTAAAATAATAATTCGGCCATACAAAAATCCTACTTATGCTTCTGAAGAAAATACAATAAGTGGAAATGTGGCTCTTTATGGGTCAACTTCTGGTTTAAAAATTTTCTCAATTTCTAAGTTTTAAATTTTTTATAGGGACAGCATTCTTTCGAGGAGTTGCTGGAGAACGTTTTGCAGTTCGTAATTCTGGTGCTACTTCTGGCATCGAAGGTGTTAGTGATCATGGTTGTGAATACATGGCTAGTGGACGTGTTATTATTCTTTGTGGAATTGGGAAGAACTTTGCTGGTGCGTTGATCGGTGTATTGTCTGAGAAACTTGAAGTAAATTTATAGATATAATATAAATATTATTGTAAACTTTCTTTGTTAGTCGTATTATGTTTAAAACTCGAATGTCGGTAATTGACTAGGGTAAGGTTTCAAAACTCTTTAGAAAATACAAATGTGATCTCATTCGGAAGAGTTTGACGAGCCTAGTCGAATGACACCTAAATTAATCAATTTTGTTAATTTATAAAAAATTAAGGACTTAATTTTTAAGGACTCAAAAAATTTTTTTCTTTCCTTTTAAAAGGGAACAAAACAAAAGAGGAATGTTGTAGATAAAATCTTTTTTAGCATTTAAACAAAAAAATTTTTTCCAATTAAAACAAATAATTTAATCAACCTTTTTCATTAAAATATTTTCATCATTATTTTTATTTAAAATTTTTTACTTATACAAAATCGCTTAATTTAATTCAGACTAGACATGGATACTGATTTTGGTATCCGGATATTTACGGCGGATACAGACGGATATCCGCAGGCATTTCTATAATACTGTACCCATGTTCCAGTCTGATATAATTAATTTAAAATTTATACTTTTATTATTTCAGAAGAGTAAAATTATGCCACGTACAAGCTCTAATTCAACAAACCGCAAGCGCCCAACAAGTGAACAGAGTCCGGGACCTCCTCGACGTCAGCTTAGAATAATTACTTCGCCAACACCTCCACCAGTAGAATCATTACAAGAACAACAAATACAGGATTTAACAAATGCAACACTAAACACAAATCCTGAATCTCAGGTAGATTTAAGAAATTTTCTAAAAATGTAAAAATATATTTATTTTGTAAATTTTTTCGGGAAATTTATGCCTGATATTTTTTTCAGTGTTTTTGTCGAACTATTTCAGATTAAGTATGTCCTAAAACTGACACTAATATTAATTCTCTTGTTCAATTTTTAATTTACATATTTAGGTTCCGGCAAGTGAACAGATGCGGTCTTTGTATCCAACACAACAAAATCAAGTAAATTTGATTTAATTTAAAAAAAAAATTAAAAAAAACTTTAAATTACCATGGTTAAATTAAATGAAAGAAAAACAAAATTTGTTTAATTTTTAAAAAAAAATTTCTTAAATTTTAATAATAAAGGTTGAGGGAATGACTTCAACAAATGCGGCACCAATGCCAATGCCTGTAGCCGCAGCTCCAGCTCAGGTATTGTAATATTGTAAAATCCTAAAGAAAATATATATATTAGAAAAAAAAATATATTTTTTTATATTAGTTTTATTCTTAACTAATTAAAAAATACTACATTTAAAAATTTTATTTTTTTTGTTTAAAGATTGTTGAAGAAGCGGATCGAATGCCTCAGGAAATAGCTGCGCAGGTAAATAAAATATTTAAACCAACAAAGTTTAGAACGTTTAGGTGAATTAAAATTTTTTAAATTTTAATTTTTAAAAAATTAAAAAAAATTTGAAAGTAATTAATTTATTTAAAATTTTTAATTAAAAAATTTTTTAATAGATTCTTGCAAAACGGCAGAATCGATTTACTGGCCATCAGCCTGAAGGAGCCAGATTCATAACGTTAGATGAAACTACTGGCTGTACTGCAACAGATATGTTCATGTTACCGTGGGAGAAAGATCAAGTGTTTAGGTAATTTATGAAAATAAAAATATTATTTTTTAAATATTTTTCAAATTAATATTCAAAAATTAATTAACAAAAACTTTTTTTTTAAAGCGAGCTAATCGGCGATGTGGTCTACAGTCACCGCGGTCCCACCGCAAAAAATGGGTGGGACCGCGGTGACTGTCATGTCCAAATAGGCCAGGCTGGTGAAATAGAGAAGATATGTGTTTTTGCCTGGAAACAAAATGCGAGCCGATTAGAAGGTGCAAAAATAAATCATGTAAATTTTTTAAATTTAAAAAAAATTTGATTTATTAAAATTTAGCGAGTTAAGCTGTGCAATCTTATTGTAGTTCCCGAGACAGGAGCTCGTCATTTATGGTCTGGAAGTGTGGACATAAAATTGCGTTTTGTTAGCTCCTCAACAATTGAAATACTAAACGCCGGAAATTTTGAACAACAACAAAGTAATTTAACTGAGCAAGGGCCTTCAAGTTCCGCCCGTATTTATCAACAGCCCCAAGAGGAAGAAGAAGTTGAATATGTAGGTTGACTTGAAAATTTTCAAATCTTAAATTTTTCAATTATAAATCTAATGTATTAACCTTATTCAATCTATTATTAATATTTATTTTAAAAAATACATTGGATTATTTAAAAAATTATTAAATTAGAATTTCTCGATTATAATTTATTATGCTCTTTCTCGTAAAATTTAGTAATAATCTTTTTACTGCTTTACAACTATAATTTAATTTCATCCTAATTTCTGAATTTATTTTTTATATTGCTTAAAATAAAATTTCATTGAATTATATAATTTGAATAGTTTTTTATATTCCAATTATAAATTTAATTGCTTAAATAAATATTTTTGAAAATGCTTTTAATAAATTTGTCTTATTAATATTCATTTGTAATTTACTATTTAATGACTATTGAAGGAAGATTTAGCCATTAATTAAATTATTTGCTTAAAATAATTAAATAAATGATTAAAATTTAATAGAATTTAAATTAAAATTTGAATTAAAAATTTAATAGAATTTAAATTAAAATTTGAATTAAAAATTTCACTTGAACTAGAAATTTTAATTAAATTTAGTATTGAATTAAAGTAAATATTATTTGAAATTTTTTTTTCTTTTGCCAATTTGAAATTTATCTAAGTATTTTGATTAAAATGTTTTTACTGAGTTTTAAATTTTAAATTTAATATGATACATAATCGAATTGATTAATATTGTACTTAAACACAATTGATGAGAAATTGCTAATATTAAATTAATTTTAAATTAAAAAATTTATAAAAAATATAAAATAAAATATTAGCTTAAATCTATTCGAATTAAGTATTTAATATTAATGCTAGATTCAATAAAATTTCAATTAACGGGATTCATATTTAAATCAATTTATTTTTTTAAATTTGAATATTGCAGTTTCGTTTAAATTTAAAACGATGTTTCTTAATAAATTGCCAGTTATTTAAGAGTATGCTAACAAATAATATTTTTAACAAAATTTAATTACAATTTTTTTTGTAATTTTCTAAAATTTTTATATAATACATGCAACAATAATAATTATTTCAGCATCAACATCGACAAGCTGCTTCTGAAAATTTAAATGACTTGGTGGTGGTAGATGATACGCCTCAAGTAATTATTTGTAATTCTTTATTTGAAAAAAAAAATTGAATTATTAAAAATTTATTATTTATAAATGAAAAATACTTAATAATTTTTATTTAAAATCACTAAATACAAAAAATTTCAGCAAACACCTCAGCTTGCTAGTGAAATTTTAAATGAATTGGCACCAACAAATTCAACTTCTCAGAATTCTCCTTCCCATCAAGTAATGCTTTTTTTAATTTTCTAAGTTAAAAATTCAAATACACTTAAATTATTGTTAAGAGTTATATTTTTTCAGCGTATGCCTACACAATTTGCAAATTCTAATAGCAACCAGCCAATTCAAGTAAATTTTACTAAAATAAAAATATTTGTCTTATTAATGCGTTGTCCGTGATATTGTGTTTTTTATTAGTTACGAAACATTTTGCGAACTGCCGGCCGTACCCCACCCCCCTTAATCTACAGTGAACCTTCAGTATTTAACGATGAAGAAAGTCACTTGGCACAAATGTATAGAGGGGAGCGACGTATTGTTGATGTATATTCGACACCTGGGGGGTTGAATTTAAGTGAACGGAATGCTCTTATGGCCTCTCGTATTAAACTTCCAGAGGATTACATTCACAATCCTGAGGAAGAATCATGTGGTCCGTGTAACCGAGATTTTACCGCATTACAAAGTGTAATCGTTTTACCGTGTAATCATAAAATTCACAAAATTTGTTTTTGGGATTTGTCACGTAATTATCGTTTTTGCACAATATGTCGAAAGGATATGGCTCCCCAGGTTGAAAATAATGTGTAGTCCAACATTTTAAATATTTTTTGTGTTTGTATTGGACTCTCAGAATTTTCAATCTAAGGGGCATGTTTAGGTTAATTTAAAAGTATACAATTTTTTAAAAAATAAATTATTTTTATAATTTAAAATTATGTTTTCTTGCTTTTTAAATATTAATATTTTGAAATAATCCTTACATATAATCTCTGAAATTATAGTAAAACATTTGGGGACGGGCATATTTGGTTTTGCTTTAACAAATAACATTTTTTCACGGTTAAGTTGGTTCTTAAAGGAAAAATATTTCGAATAAATAGAGAATATTACTATCCAATCCTGGTGGCTTTAGTTCTTAAAATTAGTAGATTTACTATTTTACATCAGAAAATCCCGATATGTCCGTCCCAAAATATCTTGCTTCTATTTAAATATTATTTTATTATCTTAATTTATTATTATTTTATAACTTTGTAACTGACTTAAATTAAGCTTTTATTTTGGCCTTAATTTTTCTTTTAAGTATCCATTGCCTTAAATTATAAACAAAATATTTCAGCCTTTAATTGTTTTTAATATAGTTAAAAGTAAATATTATGAAATATGTGTTATTTGATTTTTTGGTATCAATTATAATTAAGTAGTTAACCCCGCACCGTTGCGCTAATCGGAGTAATAAGATAAATATGGTTAATAAACGACTGTCGTTAAATTAATTTTAAGTAAATATTATGAAATGGTGTTAATTAATTTTTTAGTATCAATTATGACTAAGTAGTTAACCCCTCACCGTCTCGCTAGTGGGAATAACAAGCTAAATAGTTTTGATATAGGTGACTGTTGTGCATGTTTGAGCGTTTGTGTGTGTTTGTATAAATAAAGATTAAAATTAATAATAATACGATAATAAATTCAGGACATTATCATGAACAATTACTTCACAATCGAGCGAGTCACCGAATTCAATTCTCGCTCTCGTAATACTTATGGCCAAATTTGCCATATACGTTTCAATCCTCTTGAAGACCACCCGCGCCCAGATTTGGCTCTCACAAGCCTAATTGAACAACTTTTGGATCGGGTGCTCGCCGGAAGACCAGCGCCACTTCGGGTTGGTCTTCAGGTGCAACCACCTAATTTCCATCACCCGTTTACAATTCCACTTCGACCACTTTGCCAGAATAATCCTGCAGCTTTGGCCGCAGCAATTGAACGACTGAACGAAATGTCTCAGGCCGGAATTGATTTGTTATCGGGAACAACAGTAACAAAAGTTGTGGGCGTGTGGCCATTAGATGGACAACGAACAAATAATCCCGATGCCCGATCTGGTAGGTCGATACTAGTCTTATATTTTTTATTTAAATATAAGGCTGCTATTTTCCTACAGGCAGTTGTGATTTGGAAACTGAGCATGCTTTATCGTCCCGTTGCCGATCGATTGTGCGCGTCCACAATCCAAACGACAGATACTGCCTTGCTCGTGCAGTAGTTATCGGTCTGGCAAGAATTAGGATGGTGGATCAAGGCATACCCAACGGAGCCGCTAGATTTAAAGAATTTTGCCAACAACAACATCAACATTTATTCCAAGTAAAAAATTTAATGCAAAATGCTGGACTTGCATTTGGACTTATGGTATTTTCTATTGTTTAAATCAGTTTTTAAAATTATGACAATATTTTAACAAAATAGTTTAATTTAAGGAATATTCTCTCGAACATGTTGCAATCTTGCAACGCTGGTTAAACATCTTTTTTGAAGATGAATATTATGTTCGTATTGTTGTTTTCCAAAAGGAACAACAATATAGAATAGTCTACAAGGGCGATGGAAGAGCAGCGCGATACAATTTATGTTTACTGCTTGAAAATAATCATTATCAATTTATCGCACGCCCTGAACAACTTTTCTCTGTACAACGCTATTGTATTGACTGTGAACGTTCTTACACCCGATGGACTCACTGGTCGGGATGCAGTGTTGTGTGCCGATTTTGTATGAGATCAGGTGCCAATTTTCCTTGCCAGGTAACATCATTTTTATTGTTATTGTAATTTAAATTTAGATTTCTGAAAAAGTTTTATGCCAAGACTGTGGATTTGTTTTTCCTAATCGTTCTTGTTTTGATTACCATTTAATAAATGATGCTCCTGAAGAATTTATTAGATGTGATAGCCGTACTTTTGTTTCCATTTGTCAAATGAGGCGCATTTGTAATATATGCCATCTTATTATTTATCGGCAACAACAACATGAATGTCGGCGACAACAACAACAACAAAATTTAATTTGTAAAAAATGTAGTGGGCCTCATGCAGAGGAATTACCTTGTTATATTCAGCCATTAAAAGCTGAAGAAGATTCAGATGAAGAAGATCAACAACCACAAAAGAAACGACAATCTCCAATTCGCTTATGCTTTTTTGATGCTGAAACCAGCCAGGATGAAAATATACAAATTAGCTGCAATATTAATGGATATAAACATGTTCCAATACTTATAATTGCCGAGGTAATTTTTTAAAAAAATTTTAATGTTTAAAATAAAATTTTTAATCAATTTTTATTCTAATAAAAGTTTTTAATCAGATAATTTGTGAGAACTGTATAAAAGCTGGAATTAAAATTGAAGATGTAGGACAACGTGCACCAGGATGCTTTTGCGGGAAGCCCCGAGGTGAAAGATGGCGCAATTGGTGTTCACCACCTTTCAAAAATACCGCTGGCGACAACACCGCCTTTCCTAATAAAATTTTATTTAATCCTCGCCGTATGTTTTTCCATTCCTTCGATAACGCTAATGAAAGCCCTGTGGATCAATTTCTTGATTATCTTCTTAATCATGGTTCACAGCAAATGTTAACAATTTGTATAGCCCATAATGGTGGCAAATATGATTTTCATTTAGTGCTTGAAGCTCTACACAGGCGAAACCAACCACCATCACGATTGTGCACAACAGGTCTTAAAATATATTCTATGAAATTAACTGGGAACCGCAAAAGAAAAGTCTTATTCAAAGACTCGCTTAATTACTTCAGTTGTGAGCTTGATGCTCTAACAAAAATTTTTTCTATGCCGGAAGAAGTAGCAACATCCAAGCCATTCTTTCCGTATCTTTTTGTAAAAAGACAACATCTTCATGAAAGAATTCGAGGACTTCCTGCACTTCATTATTACCAACCTGAATATAAAAATTCTGGGAAGAGAGAATCGCTTTTAGAGTGGTATCAACAACAAATGAGCGATCAGACAACTAATTTCCAGCTTCGTGAACAGCTTATTCTATATTGTGCCAACGATGTTGCTATTCTCCGTGAAGGAGTTCTTCGATTTCGACAACTTATTGGCCAGCACGCGCAAAAGTTGGATCCTTTTCTAGCCGCATCAACAATTGCCGGTTTGGCTCTTACAACTATGCGTCGCTGTTTCCTGCCTGAAAATTGGATAGTCCATTCGCCTGAGGGAGGCTATTTGAGAGGAAGACGTGCCTCTGCTGAATCGCAGCGATACATCCGCTTATTCGAACAACAAAATCCTGAAGCAGCAGGAAAGATTCAGCATGCACAATGGGCATTGGGCGAAGCACATGTGGAAGATTGTGGTTATAGATTGGATGGTCTTTGGCAGCGATCTCCCCCACAACGCCCATTAGCAATTGAATACATGGGTTGCTACTTCCACGGTACTTTAAAATAGATTTTTTGTAGTAATTTTAATTTAGGCTGTCCAAGATGCTTCCCTCGTCGAGATCAACGTTTAGCCGCTGGCCGTACTGCTGAAGAACTTTATGAAAGGACACAACAACGTCTTTGGGAATTGGAACACCAGCACGGATTTGAACTTCATGTAATCTGGGGACATGAAATGATGGAAAAATTAAGAAATAATCCAAAGTTGCGCCATCAATGGCTTGAAATTGATTGTGTGCGACCTCTTGATCCAAGGGAGGATTGTCTGAGGGGTGGTAGGACAGAGCCGTTCAAACTTCATCACATTTGTGCTGAAGATGAGGAAATTATCTATATCGATATTGTAATTTTTTAATTCATTAAATTTTTAACATTTAAAATTTAGGTAAGTCTCTATCCCTATGTGATGAAGTCAAGGCCCTTCCCAATCGGTCATCCTCACGTTTTGACTCGTGAAACTTTGCTTGCTCCATCAAACAACAACCCTTTGCCCTGGACAATTCCAGAGCACAACATCTACAAGGGTTTACTTCTTGTGAAAATAGAACCACCCACATGCTTGCCAGGAAATCTTCCACCACTTCTACCTTATCGAACCCATGATGGCCGGCTCACCTTTCCACTTTGTGCAAAATGCGCCGATGATAAACAACAACAGCCTTGTACCCATTCAAATCGTGAGCGTTCCTGGCTGACCGGCTACACACACATTGAGCTGAATGCGGGTCTGGAACACGGCTATAAAGTCGTGGATATTTATGAGGTTACTAAATTATTTATTTAAAATGTTGAATAAAATTATAGGTTTGGAACTATGACCAATGGGACGACAAGCTTTTTCAATCATATGTGAACACATTTGTGGGGCTAAAGCAAATGGCAAGTGGCTGGCCGGATGGTTGTGTAACTCAAATGGATAGAGCTGAATATCTACTAGATTTTGAACGAACTGAGGGTATTGCTTTGGATCCAGATCGTATTGAGAAGAATCCGGGCCTTCGAATGATTGCGGTATATTTAATTATTTTGTCTGATTAAATAAATATTTTAGAAATTATTGGCAAACTCACTTTGGGGTAAGCTTGCGCAA